TCTTTCTTTCCTTTCCTTTCCTTTCCTTTCCTTTCCTTTCTTTCCTTTCCTTTCCTTTCCTTCTTTCTTTCTTTCTTTCCTTCTTTCTTTCTTTCTTTCTTTCTTTCTTTCTTTCTTTCTTTCTTTCTTTCTTTCTTTCTTTCTTTCTTTTTAATGCATTAAATTCCTTAGGTAAATACATCTAGAAAGGGAAAGATGTGTTGCACACAGCATTTTGTGATAACTTCTTATGAAATCTTCAATACAACCCTCACCACTGTTCTTCCATCTGTTCCACATTGACAGGACACATTTCTGTCCTGTAAGGTTCAGCTTGGTAACAGTGCTGATACTCAATTTGCTGTTCTGGGAAGCACTACTGTTAGTCCTGAACTTTCCTTCACCTCCTTTTCTATTTCAGCTACACAAGAGGATATGAACAGAGATGAAGCCCATTGAAAACAAGCCAAAATGTTGACCAGCTTTCTGGGTAAGAGTGGCACACCCCAGGATTTTTCCATCATGATAATTATCTATAAAAAAGAACATCCAGAATAGTTTCTGCAACCCTTATTGGCTTGTTCCATTATAGCATTACTTTGAAGGTTTGGATTTAATAATGTATTCTCCAAGTATTGTTCATATTGATTGTTATTTTGCTGTTTCGTTTTGAGTGACAGTTCTCAGACTCTTGAGTGAAATACTTTGAGTTAGAAGAACAGTGCTTCTAAATAGAAGCACTGATTCTTTCATGAATCAGAAGTATTTCTTTCATTTCTTGCATGATGTTGTCAAGACAATAGTGTCCTAAATTGTACTTATACTGTTTACCACAGTATTCTGGAGCTCACAATATTTTGGAGAACTACAGTGTTTTGGAGCAACTTTTATTTTGGAAATATTTCCAAACTTGAGCAGCTCTCCCTTTCCCACCTTTTTTCAAAGTGTTTAAAATCTGTGTTATCTGTAACTAATTTTTTCCTGGTTAAAGATTGCTTGGCATTTAAGATCTACATCAAGAATCTTCCTTTTTTTTTTTTTTTTTTTTTTTTTTTGTTCATATGACTGTGAGAATATTCAGAGTATGTGCTAAATTTTCAAACAAAAAATGCCACGTGCAAAATAAGAACTAAGGATCTAGAAGAAAAAGTAAGGAAACGAAAAAAAAGTAAGGAAACAAAAAGCACTGATTCTCTACAACTATGATGCCTCAGAAATGTGTGACTTTTTCTATTATTCTGTAGCGTGATGACTTTATACATTCATATACTTGTACAGTGTGGCCAACTTTTTAGTGCCTTTTCATTCATCAATTTGGCACCTTTACAGGCTCAGCTAACATGCTTTTCTAATATTTAATTTCCTTGACTGAATCTATAAAACAAAGAAGAGAAAGATTAAAATAACAAGAAGTACATTGACCTAAATTCAGTTCAAAGTTTATGCTGGCTTCTGTTGTGTACTTCTAGCAGAGGAGCCAGAAGTTTTCTGGTGAATGCATCAGCAGAAATATTTGTAGTCTGTCCTCTTGTGAAAGAGTCATGCTGGAACAGGACAGGCCCAGAAGGACTGGCCAAGGAGAAGTGGCAGAAAGGTTGGTGCCAGCCTCTTCGGACCTTTTCTTTCTGGGAATATGTAATCATGTTGATCAGAAGGTTTTTGATAGTAATGCATAAGGTTCCTGACAATATGAATCCTCCTAAGAAATTCTGAGCATACACTAAAAGTAGGAAGATGAAAAAATTGTTATTGAATTTAGTCTGAGGACTTTGATTACTGGAATAACTAACACAGGAATAAGAATGTGTGTGGTAAGATTCAGATAATGGCTACAAGAGTATTTGTTATCATTTCCATATTGAAATCAACACTGTCCAAAAAGTGAAGATGAAGAACCAGCTTATATCAAGCCTCTGCTGACACCACTACAAAGCCATAGCAATTCTTTCCATTTTAGGAAGAGCATCCTTTTCCAAATGACTCCTAATCTTTATTCAGGTAACTAGAGAGCTCTTCAGTGGCAAAAAAATACAGCTCAGGAGTCATGTTAGAATTAGTTTTTAGCTACATATAAAAGCTGTCTACAGATGTCACCTGCTAGAAGTTCTGTGCTGAGATTGCAAAGACCTGTACTTCTATGTTAGGAAACGGAACCTTGATTTAGCCCCTTTCTATGTTAAGACATACTCTTTCATTGCATAATCACATACTACTTTTTCCAAAGGACCTCTGCCTCACCCAGGGCACAGGACCTACAAGAGGGCTGAGGAGAGGTTATGTAGGCAGACATAAATCTGTCACTTCCTAAATTGGCTGTGCTTGACTATGCAGCCTAAATAATTTTGCTTTCAGGGGGATGCATATATTTTATATATTTTAAATCTTAAATCATGCTGGGGAACTATTCTGTAAGTGGTTTCCTTTGGTGGGAATTTGGACACCGGCTTGAAGACTCCTGAAGGAGGCATAGCTAAGAAATGAATAATCCAGTAAACACAGTCTCTCTGCGTTTTAAACATGCATAGACTAACACTTCATTTGCTCTCAGTTTGGAGTGTCACATGGTGTTTCAAGTGCTAAAAGATTTACTATGGTTTATGGCTCAAATATTTCTAAGTCAGTTTGTCATTTAGCACCAAACTACCCTGTCCTGCAGCACACTGAAAGGCTAAAGAGCATGGAAGCATTCTCCTGCGTAACTGCCCATGGACTGGAATAGCTTCTGTGACCTTTTTCTTGCTCTTGGGATCTTTCATGAAATTAATTATTAAAATGCTAGGCCTTAGGTCTGTCTGTGATGTAATGCTTGAGGTTTCCAGAACAAAACCAGATTCTTTCAGTCACAATAATTTTTATATATTAAACAGTATCTACTTGAAAAGAGAGATCCTTCAGTATAATTGTGCTTTTTTAATCAACTGTATTAACTGTATTTTGCCCTTCTGCAAAGCACTATTAACTAAGTGCATTTCCATTAAATTTCAAAGTATACCTTAGTCTTTATGACTGGATGTTACTTTTAAAATACTCAAGTTCTGGCAAGTATGACCTCGGGTGCAAACAAAACTTTATTTGCTAGAAATAAGCTATTTAGTTGTGAAGCTTTGATTATGTTTCCATAATTAAAGCATTTGAACATTACTGCAGTGAGTGGGCTGAAACTACAAGTATACAGCAAATAATGAGCAGGAAACAAAAAGAGATAAAAAGAATGAAATTTGTGGGATAGATCGTCACATCCAATTCTGCTAACCTTGCAAATGGCAGAACATCTTTCCTGGACTTCAAGTCCACCTTCAGACAGTTAAGTGAGGAAAATGTTATGGCAATAACAAGAACACCATGTCAGAAGAACAAGAAAGCTTAACAGGAAGGATTTTGGAAAATGTCTGTCCTTTTTTTGCATTGAATGTTAAAGCACGACTAGAGGCTGGATATCTATCCATAGTTAACAGCTATCAAAATGAGTCTTCAGGCCAAGAGGCTTGCGTTTAAGAGGTGGCCAAGTCCATAGTTATGTCATTTGTAAAAAGAATTTGCTATGGAATTTCCTATCAGTCTGTCAATCAGAACACTAATTATTATTATTGAGTGGCAAATGCGTTCAAAAGCAGCTCCAAAGCTGATCCCGCAAGTAGAGATCTTTTATGATTAAAGTTTTCATAGCCTCAGTAAATGCTGATTTTGAGTAGAGATTCCTCTGTGAAAAATTGAAAGCTTTCAGTGCAGTTACATTCCTGGGACATAGGATAGATGAGCAATATATCTAAAGATCTAAAGATGAGGTAACACTGAAAGAATCCTTCATTTTTCTTGTTCCAATTTCTCTCCATCTGGGTTTACTAGATTACCCAACAAATATGAACTAATATTCTAGTCTGCAGAGAGTTCGTCTCCTCGTGTTTGGAGGAACTAGGGATTTCATAACAGTTTTATGAGATGAGTTTAGAGTTGCTCTTTGGAAATGTGTTTTTAAACAGAGGATGTGTTTTATCTCTCTTTAGAACATATTTTCTTGTTTAAACTGGCAGAGAACTCATATTTTTTGTAATAATTTAAGCAGTGTGGATCCAGGGCCCAAATTGCGTTGACCTTAAATAGAATCCTGGTGAAGAGAATGCTGAAACAATGAAGCTCAGTTTTGTGATGAAGACCAGGGTCAGTGAGAAATATTTCAGCTGTTATGTTAATCCTGATCTAGAAAGCAAATGAAAGGCTTCTGTGCATTGTACTGATGTGTGATGTGTCTGAATGAATGCAGACGCACCATGATCTGAAGTCTGCTAAACTTGTGTTCAGAGGGGCATGAATGTAAGAGAGTGTTCCTGATGGAAGCCTACCACTGCTTCTGGAAAGGTCCAGCACATCACATTATGCAACTAATCTTTTGCTATTTCTTGCAACCTTTTGCTAATCTATTGCTATGATGTGGTACAAAATAAGATGATTTCTCAGTATATTCAAAGCTTGTGAATATGACAGACAACACTAGAGGTTATCATATTGTTAGGTCAGGAACACAGAATTGGAGCTGCCCTAAAGATTCAGACAAATGTATTACAGGCATACAAATCATGGCCTATTGTGGGAGATGCATATTGTATTACGATGAGTATTTGAGTTTTCTGTTAGGCTACTCCTTATGTGATACATGTAAAAGAGAAGCATATGACCAAAAAGAGACCTAACAAGAAAAAATGATTATAGTATCTGAGAATATCTAAAACCTTGTCCTCCTGCAGGACTTGAGGAAGACAGGAAAACTCATGAAAAGCAGAATTGCAGATTTGTTTTTTCATTAACTCACTTGGTCAAAGAGTGAGGAGGTGACACCTAACCAGTTGCCTGTTGTCATTCCTGTTCTGAGATGGCCAATCATTCTCTCCATTTACTGCATGGGAGCTTGCATCTTTTTTAGCTCTGTGTACTCTATGGCTAAGGGAGGTGCACCTAGCACATCAGACATTCTGCCCCCAGATCTGCAGCCTTCTAGGGCCTTAAGTGAATGTAACCCTTAGTTTAGGAAGTCTTGAAAGGGTAAAAATGTTATTGTCACTCAAATAATTGCTTGTATATGTGGCCAAATCTTTTAGCTACTATCAGGCAGAACCTAAGCAGCCCGTGGGGCTTTAAAGGCAAAATGTCAAGGGTAGATCTATACCATACAGTTATACCAGAGGTCAGCTAGACATACCCAGACTAGGTGGTATTTCTGCATGATTCAGACATGAACCCCAGCAACTGTATAGCTGCTTCAGCATGGTGTTGTGTATAGGGGTTTGATTCAATCAGCAGAAGCATTTGGTGTAAAAAATCTCTAGTACAACTGCTCTGTTTATTTATTTATTTATTTATTTTGGGAGGAGTGAGGGAGAGGGGGAGGGAAGTGGAGGCAATGTATTCCTCGTCTGAAGTTTGTTGTTCAAAATTATTTCTGCCATTTAAAAAATGATTTGCCTATTGTTTAGGCAGTAATTTTTGTCAGTTATTTAAAAGGACTTAGCACAAGTATTACATTTTTTCATGCTTCTGTGCTCCTTGAAAGAAAAAGGGATGTAGAGAAATGCTGAGCTTTTTGAACGAGATCTGAGACCCATGGAACCTTCCTGGAAAAAAAATAAATCAATGTAATTTGTTCAGTTCCTTTAGAAAACCAGCCTCTGCCTTCAGAGTTTTCTCAGCAGGCTATATTTTTTCCCAACCACTAGCAAAACAAGGCTAACAGCTTTCCCAAGGGAAATCTGCTTAAGCCTGCTGCAATGTCTGTGAGGAGTATGGGTGCTGGTGGAGAGTGATACAGGGAGGAACTGTGCTGTCAACAACAGGAAGTTGGTGAAAAATGAGCAGTGCCCCTGGGGAGGTGAATGCAGAGCAGATGGCTCTAATTGTGAGTCACACTGTGACAACTGACAAGAGAAATTCTGCACTCTTGACACTTTAAAGATACCAAAAATACCAGAAAGCGCATTCCATGGCTTCTTGAAGACTTCCATATCGAGGGAGCTGGGGGGGGAGAGCTCCAACTCCTCCTGTTTCCATCACTAAACAGCCCATAAAATTTGCTGTTGATAAGCTTCCAAGCAGCCAAACATTCTAATACTTAGATAAGTCACTAACGTTAATAAAAACACTGAAGAAATAAGAAGGAAGAGGTGAAAAGGGGATTCATGTGCAGGGCAGCACCAGTTGCTTTAGATACTGATCCTTTCAATTAAGTGGCGGTTCTGGATAAGAAAGGGGAAAGTAACATCCTTGTTTATAAGTACTGATAGATTTTGAAATCTCTCTCTCTCTCTCTTTTTTTTTTTTTTTTTTTCCATCTGGAATGACTGCAGACATTTTCTTGATGTATTTCAATTACTGCCCGGATACAGAGTTGCAGATTTATACTGTGCTTTTTTAGTAGAGTTACAAAAAGTCAAGACCAGAAACCATTCATATTTGGTTGACAATATTTTTTTTTTTAATTTATTTTGGGATGACTTCTTGGCTTGGGTAGGTCCGCAGATGTTAACAGAAATAATTCCTTCTGCTGTATTTGCTTGCTTAATGCCCCTGCTTTAAGATCAATGCTACAATAGCTAGGCAGTCCATGTCTTGAACATAACCTGTTCTTTCCATGTGCACCCAAATAACATAAATCAGCTCTTTTAGTTGAAACTTGGTGACCATTAATTTCAGGTTGAGGCATTATTGTTATTCTCATACCGTAGAAGATATTTCCCTGTATTCTGGGGAAGGGAGGAAATTTCATAGTGTTAGAAATATTACTGGGAGCATCTTGTTCCGACTGGATTCAGATCTCTGATATTTTGGCATTCTCTTCTGCTTTTTAAATTGCTGTTATTTGAAAGTTACTAACAATGGAAGGGTGCATTTAATCGCTTGGGAAGGCAGCTACAATGCACAACTGTTCCTCCTACAGATGTTAAGCTGCTGCTAAAGGTCATAAAGCATTTGAATGTCATTTCTTGAATAAGTGCTTATGCTCTGAGGTGGAGGGTTAGCTCATGCAGGTCATACAATTCAGCAACTCTAAGTTCAGTCCAGAATTTCTGGTATCCTTACCATTTTCTATAATTATTATTTTCCTTTATATTATATCATTATGATAGACTCTGCACATTTTTCTGTGATTTTTTTTTCCTGTGGGATAAGTGCTACATGGAAACACCTGGCACGAATTGAATAAGTTACATGGAGTTGTAGGAGCAGTACATCCTTAGTGTTGCACTCTGCTTAGCTTGGCTAATTTGCTCTATTAAGCATCTCTGTAAATTGTAGTACCCATGGTAGTCGAGGCACTTACATGGCATCATCTGGAAATCCCCCTATGTAGCCTTCCTCTCAGAACTGCTACTTTACACCAGAGGTTGTGTACTTCTTCTGTCCAGTAATTTTGAGTCACTAGCATAGCTCGAGAATAATATAAATCCTTGGGCTTTTTAAAACATGAATCTCCCTTTGTAACTGCTTTCTCAGACCAACATTTGGCTTATTTGCTAGCAGTTATTTTATATAAGGTCAACTGTTGTTGCCTTTGCTAAGATTTTGTTACCTCTGTGAAAAGCCCTGGATTTACCATGAGTAGAAATAGAACTACCAAAATACTTGTGTTGTTATGCTTTAGCTTTCATGGTAGGTTGGATAACACACATGTATATTAGGCTACATTTTCTGAAAGCATGAACGAGGTCACAAAGAGATATGCAAACACACACATCCTCCAAGTTTCCTAAGATACGCAAAACTCTGCCATCATTCTGTGGGATATGCAGTGCAAGAGAAGCCTACAGTAATGTGAAGCCAATACGTAGGACTCAGGGAGCCCGTACTTTCACATTTGGTGTGAATTCCAAAGCTTGCCTGTTGTGCTGTTGTTTTTTCCTGCTGGTCATAATGAAGGGGGAAGGGAATAAGTATCATGTTCTCAAATTTGGTTCTTGAATCCTTGGCAGAAATTTTGAGATCACAGCTCTTCTGTACTCTGAAATGCTTTCACTTGGAGAAGTTGTATGATGTGGTGGAATTTCTTTCTTCTTTACATCTGTGTTGGCTAAAACAAGACAGAAGAGCTTGAAAAAGCTCACCCTCCTCAAGGAACGCTATCTGATTCGTAAGCATTCCTAGAGGTTAAGGCTGGTGACTATCAAGAAAGCAAATACTTCACGCAAGGGTAAGTCCTCTAATTGTGTTTGTGTTGAATAGCTGCCAGATCCCCATGTCAGGATGTCTGCAGTCAAGGCTCTGATCTCACCATTCCTTCCTAGGCTGTTGCACAATTGTGTTGCGTGTTTGTGGTAGGAGAGAAAGTTGGAGAGCTGAGCTATGAAACCATCTCGGGGAAGGAAGCCATGTTTTATTTTAGTTGCTTGGTTTGGATAAAAGCCTGTAGGAGATTGAATAACATATAAAAACATAATGTGGCCCATTCATGGTAACCAAACCTGGTCTTCTGTGCAGATATGTGAAATATGAGGTTTAATATGCAGGAAATGTCAGTGAAAATGTGTTCAATGGAATAGTAGAAATCCATACACATGTGATAACTTGCTGCATTCTATGGTGAATCTCATCTGTAGTTGCAGGGTCTGGGCTTGCAGATGCAGTGAGGGAGCTTTTGGAAAACTGGTTGTGAATCCACTCCTCTGATGCATTACTTCAAAGACATTTTGTGGAAGGCAGTTGAGACAAAACAGTGACAAATAGCAGGTTAATTGTGAAAACAGAAAGACCCAGAGATACTGTCAGACACAAGCTTAGCAATAGCAAAAGAAGGTAAGAATATCATAGTTTCATCCAGCCAGAACAGAGGAGTTTGTGGGACTCTGAGAACGTGTAAGAGCTGAAGGCTGCCCTGGTTAAACAAACATTTTGTTCCTGAGAGAAGACAGCAGTTGCCTTAGCCACAGAAATGTTAGTTCAAAGTAATATCCTGATTACTGTCAGAACTATAAATCTTGTTTAGATGATCAAGTTGTGCATTTCTGCTCTTTGGCTAGAACAAAGCAAATTTCACATAAGTCTAATTTTACTACTGAAAAAATAGTAGGCTGGGTGGATCTATAACTATCATGTCATCTCACATAATAAAAGATGGTGAGCTGGTAGCAATAGTCCCAGAGGATGTCAGTTCCACTTTCTAAACCAGTAAGTGGAGAATTACTCAAAGCAAAAAAGATCTTGTACAAATAATAACTGGGGAAATCAGAAGTTAATCTGAATACCAGCTCACTTAATCTAATCAGTATGAATATCTCCCTGCCAGCTACTCCATTACCTGAAACAGGGGTCAAGTGATACACATCAGTCAATCCTCTCATTAAAAAAATCCACCACCACCACCAAATCCTTCTACCTTCCCCCAAAAGAGAAAAAAACAAAACAAACAAACAAAAAAAAACCCCTTCATCTCCAAATCTCAAATATCGTCATTCCTGATAAGTACTGAAAGGTTCCTCATTTCTCAATTGCAGTTCATATCCTGAGCTACGTAGATTTGCTGTTAGAGATAAGGATATGAATTATAAAGTAATATTAACAAGCATGTTGCAACCTGCTAGCCTCTCTCTGGCAGCTATGCCTTGTGTTGTAAATAGAGGTGGTCACTGAGTCGGCTCAGGAACTTAGGATCTCACCACATGTCATTCAGTAGCATTAGCCCGCATGTACACCTTCAGGGAAAACGGTATGAGTCACCTCAGTGGAGAAATAGATTATTAAAAAAAAAAACGAATAAGCAAGACAGAACAGGAGTAAGGAAGAATACTATGTTTCTGATGGATTCCACTGGAGTAGGAAAAGAAAATCTGCCAGCTGAAAGTGGAAGGAGGGAAAGCAGGCCATAACCCTAGACTTTGAAAGGTGTCACCTAATTGACATCAAACTATACAAATTATATTTTGTTTCTTATTATCTTCACCACTTGTAGATACTTATTAAAGTTTTAGCCAAGACAGTACTTTTCTGCCCTTCCTTTTTAGCATGGGTGACATTTTGCTGTCCCAAAACATAGGTAACACCTACTGATGGTGTTAAAATAGCACTTGCAGTAAGAAATGATTCCTGAAACAATACTGTGGTGTTTGAGTCAAACATTTGTTTTCAGAGATCTCTGTGGTATTTTTCTATGTTTTTGGGAAGGCACAGAAGATGACCTTTGTACTTTCCTTGGTAATTGAGAGAAAGAAGGATTGAGTCATCTGCACTGTAATATGGAGTTATTCTTTGTAATAGGTTAGAGAGTGCCCAGAGAAAATCTGATTTGTTTCTCTTTCTCTGGACTTTTTTCTTAATGTGTTTTAGATTTAAACTAATGCAAGCTAATTAGAAGCAAAGTAGAAGACGGCTATGTTTAGATTTAACGTATTCTTAATTTTTTCTTAATTTTATTTTGTAACAAAGAAGCAGAGATTATTTCCTGAAATCAACCAAGGTATCCCTAGCTTGTTTTCTTGACTTCAAACTTAGATAAAAAAATACTGTAAACTGTAATCGCTTGTGAAAAATGCCTTCTTCACACTCAAATTGTTATTCATCATCACTTTGCCTAGGAAAAAATACCACACGTATTTGAATGAGCCACTGGTAACTGAAATTTAACTGATTCTACGATTGACAGGATAGGTCTTCTATGGAATAGCTGGCTGTAGCAGCCTATGTGTGTTTATATTCATGAAAAGTATACACCCAAACTAGAAGCAATTCAAAATGACTGTAGCGAAACCTTATTTTTAAGAAATTATATTGTCAAAGGAAAAAAGCAAAAAAGAGAAATGTATAAAATCGGTTAATTTAGATTGTTATTTGTGGAAAACAGATTTACTGTTTCACTTTGTGTTTCTCTGTGAGTTATCGCTCATTTTTCTTTCCAAACATAAAAAAAACTTTCTCCCTCCACTCTTTGAATTCGAAGGGAAGAGTGATGGGATGAAGACTTTTTTTTTCAGTTGAAATGCCGAGACAGTAATGAAATAAAATATTCTATGCATTCTTAGAAAGCCAAACACCTGCTATTGAAAGGGAAATGATGGCCAAGAAAAAGAATAAGAAAGAAAAGGAAAAAGGAACAGGTGCAGTTAATGGGCAAGACTAAGGTATCATGGGAGACTTTCAAAGCCATAGATGAATTTAGCTGTACCAATTCTGAGTGTTGTTTACTTCAGTTTTCTAAGTTTCAAATTCTCCTCCTGAATATGAGTTTCAGGGAGAAGTCCATGTGAAATAATTACAGATTTTTTGAAAAGAAAACAACAAAACATTACTAATATCTAAATAACAAGAATAAATGATAGCACACACTAATTTTTCACAGTAAAAACAATATACTGGAAAATATTGCCAAGCAGTGTCAGTGAGAACAAGAATAGTCTAGCCTTACGCCTCCACTTTTTATTTCATTATTTTTATTTCAAAATTGTCATTGAATGGAGAATACAGTCTGAGCATCTGTCAAAGGCAAGCAACAGGATCTTTTTTTTTTCCTCTTTTGGTCTAAGAGAACCTGTACTCCTAAATACACTCCCTATGGGGAGTATTTATCTAAAGGTGAACTGGAGAATAGTAAATTTATAAAAAAGTAACTCTTCCTATTGATGCATGAAATCATTACATCATTAATTAAAATGTCTTTTAGTCCCCTGCATCCCTTACTCCAAGGATATGCACACATTGAAAAACACACATTGATTTTGTTAAACACGACTTTCAAAGTTTTGCAGTTATACAAAAATTAGTTTGTACTGTAGAATTAAAAAACCTCTACCTTATTAATGGAAAACTCGTGCTCATCGCAAGGCCTAATTCATACGTAATGCTGATCAATACCCAGCAAATCTGTTTGGTTAGATGGTGTCCATAATTTGGTTAGATGGTGTCTAAATCCTTCATTCTTACCCACATATGCAGTGTCTGATGCAAAGGCTCAGATGTGCATGATCCAAAACGTTTATTACAAGTTCTCACATCACTTATATACCTTCACAAGTTTTCTTTTTCTAGCTTTCCCATCCACCCCTACAACTTTCCCATCCACTATTACATGTCAACAGAGCATTCTACAAAACACTTTTCAAGTGTTCACACAGGCGCTTATCCAGTCAGAGCCATGAGATGCTCTTTCTTCTAGAGGTGTCCCTGGTTCTCATGCTGTTTATCTTGCTCCACAGCTTCTGCTCTGAATAGCTTTTCTTGTATTCCCCCCCACACATATTCTGTAAGGTCTACCAGTGAAATATTTTATTGATGTAGTTTTGCCTTATTCTAATGGATATAAAAAGAGAGTGTTTTAATCAATTGTTCTACCCTTAGTAAACTCCTTTATATTCAGTATTGATTTTATTTTTTTTTGTGTGTAACCTGTGTAGTCAAAAATACTAACTGCTTTCCTTGGATTGTTTTGTTACTACTTCTGTTTTCCATGAACTCATATGTTCTTCCTGTACATTAGTATTGCATATGAATTCAAAGCAATATCAATAACCGTGCCATCTATCTCTTTTGTTCCAGTGACTCACTTAGGAACAAACTCTGTGGATTTAGTTGTTACTCCTGTGATAGTATCGTAGTCTGCATTCCATCATAATAATGGATTTTAATTTGAAATTATGGAAAAATAAGATGATCAAAAATAACCTGTAGGCAATGGAATGAACTACATATAAAATCATTTGCAGGTCTAAATTGATCTGTCTCTCTTTTCTACAGATCAGTGTGGATTTTTTTTTCTTCCTTAAAAAAAAAAAAAACCAAACCACACACACAAAAATAAAAAAACAACTGTTCTTAACGCTTGAACAAATCCCTTTTTCTTCCCCTCGATAATGTGGTTAACTGTCTGGAATGTGAGCCACTGGAAATTCTTCCCCACAGAAGAATCCCCATTAAGCTTTCAAGCAGACTTACTTCATCCCCACAGCTGCATGGATAGAAGACTTTCTACTGCCTAAATACATACTGTATATGTCATCCTTAAATTTAATTTTTTTTTTTTTGTTTTGTTTTTCCAGCCAGAGCTCTAGGAGCAGGTGCTAGCATTTTGCTTCCTTTCTGCTTCCTCTGTGGGGAATGGGCTAGAAAGAGCCAACTAATTAGAAAATTCTACAGGGAAATCAATTCTGCAAACAGCTGAGGAATGGCATTTCAGTATAATGCTCACTTTGTCTGTCAGCAAGGCCTTGGTTGGCTTGACAAGCGGCAGCTCTTCCAGATGTTACACATGTTGTGATAAGGTCAGAACTGCATCATACATTGCCCATTCATGAAAAGATGTGGTGCTCTGGAAGAGTAAATAAAATAAAACTGATGTTAAGGACATATTATGTTACTGTCACAAGACAACAGCTTAGTATTTTAACACGTGTTTGAGGTGCAGCAATGAACTTATGTTTAGTGATTTGAGTATTGAGTGCTGTCTTTGCTTTCACATAGGGGTAAGGCAGAGGAGTGGGGAGTTAAAGAGACGTACTGAACCATCTAGTGTGAAAGGCTAGATAGTCAAAGTTAGTCTTGCATATTGTACACATCTAAAAAATACGTGCAGATCTGTAATGAGTCTGAGCAAAATGCCACTTATTTAAACACTAGCTGGTTACATGTACATGAGAATAGTCACATCTGCATACACAGGCTCCCTTTCTAGAGGCACTGGTGACTTGAAGCTACAAGGATCTCCCACTCGTAGTCTGTTGTGAGATGTTCAAGGGAACAGCATTGTCTTGGAGAAGAAGATTTATCAGAGACTTTGCCAGCATCAGTTTCATCAATTTTTCCTCAAGCCATTTGTAATGTGAGGCAGCGTTCATCAGCAGAATTCTCATGTACACCATTCTCAGATAGACTTGGCATCCATTGTCACTGTCCTGCCAGGAGATGGTCTTGGGCTTTGCTCAGCTGTGCAGAAGCATCCCCCAGACTCCAGATATCTGGGAATTTGCTCTACTTAATTCTACTACTCTATTCTACTTAATATAGAAATAAAGTCTTGTGAGTAATATAGAACTTCTTTGCCTGTCTTTTCTGGTCCAAACATGATTTTGCAATTCACAGTATTATGAATATTTCTTCCTGTTGCAGCTCGTTCATTTTTTAGATGTCTTATTTTCTATTCTTGAGCTTCGTGCTGTACTCCTTGTCTCTGTCACGAGTATTAGAATCCTTTTCCTGCCTGTGTCTCTTATCAACTAATTTGTCATATCTAAGAATACAGTAGCTAATATGCTTGTGTACAAGTCCCATAAAGACATGTTACTTTTCTGTAGATGAAGATTTCCCAAAGTATTTTCCTCTTTTCCATGTTGGTTCTACCATAACATGATCTTTCACTTTCTCTTTTTTTTTTCTCTTTCATCCTTTCTCTCTTTCCATTTTTCCATTAAATCTCAGATGCAGTAATACTCTGTCAAAAATTTGTTTGCACTTGATTTTCTAACCAGTCTGTTCTCTCCAGCACCAGTACAGTGCTTAATACATTGCACAATACTGGATGCAAGAACTGTTTTTAATAGTAAACGATCTATATCCTAATATCAGTTCAGTTTTGCCATGCATAAGTTATTTGAGAATTACTAGTAGACTTTTTCTAATAAAAAAAAATTCAAAGCTTTGTAATGCTCATGCTGAAATGCAGCCATCTTCCAGCACTAACTGCTGAACTAACTAAAGGACACTGACTTCAAAAGAGTACTTTTCAGAAATGAAGATCACTCTTGTAGCTGAAAATAATAGCATTCCTGTGAGATAAATGAAGCCAATTTCTGTACCTATTAAATTTAACAATTGTAGGTTTCCAAGTGAGATATAATTTCTTATGAAACCATTGAAATTAATTCACTACTTAGTATTAATGCCTTCCTTGTTTCTAGTTAATTGTTGGAAAAAAGCAAACAAAACCTCTTTATTTTGACTAATTTCTATAGCTACATATGTTTAAGAAATTGAAAGGATTAAAAGGTGGCAACCTCAAAAACAGGTGCATGGACTGTAAAATGTAAGCAATTTTATAATTCCAAGACCTATTTTGATTAGAGAAGCCCTTGTCTCCACATGTGGAAGATTTGCTTTGCAATCACATTTTCAGATTTTTTTTCAGATAATTGACTTTTTAATTTTAAAGTCCTAAATGTATCACTGCTCGGCCATTTTCCAAAACGAGTTGTAATATACCTGATACATTATGAAAATATACCTGATGCATTATGAAAATTTGTCGAGTAGGCCATGTGTAAAACAAAAGCTTGTTTGCATTTAAGAATAAAATTGCATTATGAAATATTATCATCACCTATTCTTCTCAGAACTACAACTTTTATTGCAGAATGCTTAGTAATTACAGGAGCACTGCCAGCTGAAATTTTTGAAGTGATTGTCAAGCGATAAATAAAATGGAAAAGGTTTGCTATTTATTTTATGTAAATGTCCAGCTAGATTGTCTTTATATATTGCCTACACAAAAATTTTTAGTGATTTAATTTTCCGTAAACACCAACCCAGTTGGTGTGGAAATTTCTTTCTCTTTCAATGTGTGTCCTAAACAAAACAAGCAAACAAACAAACAAGCAAAAAGATTCATTACTTCCATGATTTTTCATTATTATGATTTGCATTACACGGATTTTTATATAGGTTTTTTTTTTTTTTTTTTTTTTTTTTTTTTTTTTTTTTTTAATGCAACAAGAATAAACATCAACTGCATGCACTTAAGAGCCAAAAAATGTAAGTAAAGGAAAAATCTGCACCTGCCTATAGACATTGTTTAATAATTGCATGTTGGCACCACTAGCTTAGTGTTTATGATTTATTCTGTTTATAAAGAGAATCTTTATAATTTATTCTCTACAGGCAATAGAGATAGAGCAGAATGAATAAGGATATCTTCTTGTGATGGTCATCAGAAAGACTGGAGGGGTCAATCAGGAAGAAAGATATCTCCTTCCTGTGAGGGCATGGAAGCATGTGAGGATGTGAGGATGACAAGGAGGTCAGATGAGCCAGGTGGTGAATTCAAAATTAACTTCCAAGTAATAAAAATATTTCAAAGTGCTTTTTTTCCTTTGGAGTAGAGCAAGATGCTTTGTCTTGCCCTTGTGTGTTCAAAAGAACTGTTCTAAAAATATAAGTGTTACTCATTTCTCTGAAGTTCCATCAATTGTTTATTGGTAAGCATTGTCTGGAAAGGAAGGAAGCGTAAGGAGATAGCAGGAGTAAATCGATATTTTATTGCAGTGAAATGCTTGTGTTATTTCAGCTAGCCAATTTTACTTATAACCTCCTCAACTGCAGTGCTATCCATTACAGTTGCTCTAGAGTGAAAGGCTACATCATCTCTGCTGCTAGTTTCTTGTGAGGGAGCAAGAAAAAAACAGGTAGATATTTACTTTTATTCTCTGACTGAATGTTTTGAAAATGAGAAGCTGGACCCCCTTCCCCAAAGCAGTAGGCAAGGCATGCTAACTTTCTGCTCTGTTTCCTTTTGCAGAAATAATGCCTGCCTCAGACATAATATCTTAAGAGTTCTGAGGACAGGTAGCTTTAGACCTTGCGAATTTTATGGGTTTTCTGATCTAAGCTGCTGAGGAGACTTTTGAAAGTGGACCTTCAAATGTTTCACACACAGTAAATCTCTTCAGAATCTTTCCAGTGTTTTTAAAACAGCATAAAAGGAGTACAGGGAAAAGTGGTGGATGTTGGTGAATGGGGCTAATTCCTCTGCAAATATCTCATTGCAAAAGTCCATGGGCAGTATTAGTATTAGTGGATGCTGAGCATGTTCCCATTGCTGCTAGCATCAATGCACATTTGTCAGCCTTAAGAAATCTCTTCAGATATAGGTGTCAACAATCATAGTTACTAGAAATACCAAAGTGCTGAAGTACCAAAAAAGTACTTAAGCACATACCTTAATATTTAGATGGTGTTTGAGGGGGAAAAAAAAAAAAAAGAAAAAGAAAAAGATATTTCCCCAAATGACCATGATTCTTTTGCCATCAGCCAATAAAATTTTTACTGTTGACTCCTACAGAAGCATTTTAAGCTACTATTAACTGCTTCTGAAATCCCGCCCTTAATCCTGGCCTTCTTAAATGCCAGATAGATAAACAATGATCTCTGAATCTCACTTAGCCTGCCTGCTTTTCCAAATGGTAGGAAAAAAATAGAAATTTCTGCCACTCAGCCCTGAAATCAAACTGAAATCAAAAAGAGAGGTCCATATTTGTTTTTTGTAGCCTATCTAGAAAACGGGACTGAAAAGTAGATGAATATGAAGTGATTTCTGAGACAGTTGGCAAGTAGCAATTTAACTTCTTACTCAGGACCTTAAGATATGCATTAAGTGACTGCCCCAAGCTTTCATGACACGCATAGGAAGAGGGCAGGAATAAATAGAACATAAAATAATCAATAACCTATCCTAAATACTAGACCAGACATTATATTTCTTGTTTATTCTTGTTTATCATTTAGAAAAAATGCTGGGATCTATATGGCCTGAATTCCTATCAGTTTTATTGTTTTTTTTACTTTTTAAACAGAAACTTGTAATCCGAGAAAACAGTTTTTATGTGCCCAAAATGTCTTGAACTGGGTTGTTGCTGAGGAACTAGCAAAAACTGCAGGTCTTGACACTTTGCTTTACATCATCAGTGTTTCAAAGATTGAGTAATTACTCATTATTTGGTTCCATTCACAAGTAATTTTTAGGTAATACCATACACAGGATTTGTCCAGAAGTTGATGAGTTCTTTCACTGCCAAAAACTTTGGTCAGCATGAAGTGGAATTAAGTCAAGTACAGGAAGGAAATTGTTATTGATACCAAAAGAATTTGCGGCCTTAGCTATTATCAGACACAACAAAAAGTTTTTTTCCTTTCTATTGGAAGGCATGTGATTATAGATATGCCAAAAAATGCTACTAAATATTTCAAGAAGATGTTAGGTTTTTCAAAACTAATTCTGCCATCAGGACCCTTGCCAGACATTAGCAGAGCATCAATTTTTTTTTTTCTTGGATGAAAAGAAGTCATAAATGTAAAAAGGGTAAAATTTGTAGTTTGATCTGCTGATGTCTGTTTCGTTACTAAATGTCTTTATATCCTCAAAAGATACTTTTGTGAAAGAAACATAAGCTCCAAAGAATGGTAAGCTCTTCTTTTTTATTTAAGTACGTGCTAAGATTTTTGCAGGGTACTCCTGATTACGTTGTCAGAATCCAGGAATTTGAAGATAAACTCAGGTTCCAGAAAAATATCAAGCTATCCCTCAAATTATTTTTTAAATTT